CATGTAAGACAGCCCGAAAACAGAGCACCAGACATTCAGATGGTAGCAATACAACATCAACGACTTAAAGTTCAGCATACGTTTCGCGAGACTTGGTCAACGGCTGGAAGAAAGCAAGAACCGGTTTTGCTATCAATACGTCATCCGCTCAAAGCCGACGAAATTGTTCATATGGAAGAAATGGATAACAAACATTTGTGAATAGTGTAATGTTGTATGTCATATAATATATATAGTACTCTTAATATTTCTACCACTTAAAAGTGTCAGTACAAAAATTAGTTTACTATTATATATTAAAAATTAAAAAAGAATGGAACATTTCATCCTTCAGTTATATATTTCGCTGATGCATAAAAGATTAAGCAATGTTTGCTGATGAAGTTCTGCGCTTTATAAAGACATATAAAATTTGGTCTGTCCACAGCCCCTATATTTTGTCTTTAGATCGCAAATAAAAGTATTCAGGCGAGGGTCTACATGAAGGCCGTATTTTGGCTGGGTATTATGGTTTTAATGCAAATACCTCGTTCACGTTTCAAGCAGTCAAGAATCTCTCAGCTCATCCCACATAGATGTTTAGATGAAATGAATTTGCTTCCCAGGTAACCATTTTTCGAACTCTAAATTTGGGCGTAAAAGTGGTGAAGTGTAAATCAATAATCAAACTAAACCAAGTTAAAATTTTCACAAGTACTCAGGTGGTTTTATTACCAAAGGTTTCATTTTGGATAACAGTTTATCACTTCAAACATCTTTTGTAACTGAACTCTCGTAATGATATTCATAGAACACAACTGAGCTATGATTAGTGGGTTTTTGTCTTTCTGTCTGTTATGTAGAATTTTACTTGGACTTGCTGATTTAATTAAAGATACGCTTTTTTGTTAAATGTTTTAAATGTCTGAACAGGTCTTGAAAAATTTCTTTGGGTCTGGACAATGGCTATCACTTGACGCTGGTAATTTGGCCTTCGTTTCCCAGTGCTATTAGTCTTTTACAGATGATTTAATTTCATCTGGTTGCAAATATCAATAAAAGTATCTTCCTCTTCCGAGTAACCCTGAACAATCTCATCTAACAGGCCAAACAATTCTGTTTCCTTCCTCCGAAGCTTGTTTATCCGCAGTATTGTAACAATCCCCATGCCACGCGCTTGCCTGAGCTGTCGAATGGCGTCACTGACTCCATCATAGAATGATTTCCTTTTCGTGGTACTCGGTTCTGGTTGGGATGATTCTCGATTTCTGTTTTGCCTCGACTCGTGAAATGGGCTTCTAACCGAGTCAAAATCAACTGTCGTGTTGACGCTGGAGTTGAGGGTGTGTTTGTATAGACCTTTGTCATACGATAGTGAAAGTTTGCGTTTTAAAGATCGCTGCTTCAGGAATTGGCTAACAGCCTCAAAAAACATCCTATTATTGTCATTGGTAGAGTTACGCTCATCTACAAGGGCATGAAGTTCGTTCTGAGTTACAGCGGTCCTCGCATCTGACAGTGCATCGTTTATTGCAGCAATAAAAAAGTTCATGAACATAATAGTGAGGCTTATAAGGAGCAGAGCCGCAAATATTCTGCCAAATGTATCATTTGCATCTGATAACTGGTTGATGGGTCTTGCCTTGACTCGGCCTAAGATTAATTCTAGCTGGAAATATGTGGCTTTCAGGATCGAGGAATATTTTTCAGACCCAGTGCCGAAGATAAGAACGCCAAAATGAAGAAATGCCATGAAGCCAACTGCAAGGACTGCCGTATAAGAACGAAGAAGCTTTGAAGATATTTTCAACGTTCTCGAAAATACAGCAACATGCGCGTTGAAACGGATAAGCCGTAAAAGTTTCAATGTTACTATGAAGACCAGAATACCTAAGACGCCATTTTCGGCCTCTGTCCAGGCGATGACTTCTTGGAAAGTTGCATTTGCGTAAACGTTTTCTTTCAGCTTTCTAACTGTCGAGACGGCTTTGGCTGATCGGACAATGTTCATTACCACAGCAAGTACTGATACTAAAACTTGAAAGATTTCCATCCAATTCCAGAAGGATTTGAAAAATCCTGATCGTAGCTGATAAACTCTGTAGCATGTTCTTCCCACATAAAGTAAGACGAATATGATGAGTAATAGTACACAAACTAGATAAAATTGATGCGATCCAGTTTCCTTGGAATACACAGAGATAATGTTGATCTTCTCCAATGGTGCTCTGTAACTGGACGATTGGATTTCGTAGAAATAAGTGGCAACAACTATGAAATTTGTAGAAGGGTTAAAAGCAGCGAACTCTAAAATGACAGAGCGTGATTGCAGGTCCAACCAGTTTTGTCTTTGTAATGTCTCAAGTATGACGAGCGCGGTTTTAATATCATAGCCAAGATCAGCTATGAATCCTCCTCCAGGGTACAGGGAAAACTGTCCCCACTTCGGTACTACATCGGTTTGTCCAGGCTTCTCATATCGCCATGGCTTCGGACAGAGCCGGAATAGTTCGTCTTTCGTCGTAGAATTGTCGAATGGGATCCAACCCGGTTTGTGGAAAGGCGTCGTGTCTTCGTTTTTGTCTGAGTACACATCATAGCATACAGGGAAGGTTGGCTTCATGTGGTCCAAAACTTCGCAAGGCTCTGTCAAAAATCATGACAAGGGATTTGCAAATTAATTCAATAAAGCCGAACAAGTTGCCAAAATGTTTTATACCTAGCAGGGTATAAAAAACAAGCGTAGGAAGTACTATGAACTTCTGCCGTTAAATTGTTTTCATGCCTTTAAATATAACGTTGCTTCTAACCCATTTTTTTATTCCGAGTGGTATGAATCCTTATTTGCCCGAGCTTTCATACTACTACTTATTTAGTATATGACCGAGAAAATTCGGAGTGCACCAGTATTAATCTACATCACAGTGCAAACTAAAGATTAACTATTAATATTGACCTGTTCTCAGCCAATAACTATGAAGTAGCTTTCTCATTCCCAAAGCTACTTACTTGGTTTGACTCTTAGTTGCCTTAATTGAGGCATTCCAACAAGAACTGAACGCTTGTTGCCAATATATATACTTTGTTTTTCCACTTGTCTATTGTACCACACTCCAGCATAAACGCCAGGCAGGAAAACAGTACGCAGCCAATTCCAGTAAAGAGAGTTGTTGAAAACCTGAGGATTGAAGAATGACTGGGTGTGAAATGACTGAAAATGTTTTAAACTTAAGCATGGATCCCCTCCCCCCACTCGTCCCACAATCTTAGCATCCGCTTCAGCAGTTCAAATATCTCCAGGACTATAAAGTCTGTCATAGCAGAAACTCACCCACTTTGTAGAAACTGATGATGGTGGTTTTAGACGTCAGCGCAGTGTTCAGTTTTTGACTTTTACCCTCTATGGATTCTTTCTTTTAATTACAACTCTACCATTTCAAGTGGTATTCGGTCTAACCCGGGAACATTCATTTTACATAGCCAGGTTTACCGAAGTAAGCTACCTGCTACCTTGGGTACCTATTTTATGTCTATGTTTTGCCATGTCACCCTTGCGAATATCACTTTGGATTAGTCGCTGTATGCAAATATCAATTTAGATTAGCATGTGACATAGTTTTCACTTGAATTTTTATTGTTGTTATTAGAGTAATTGAAAAATATTTCAATTTGTAACGTTTTTAGCCTCCACTATAACTGCAAAATTTGTAATTGTAAAGTTTAGACTGTAATTATTGTAAAGCGCTATCGAGCTAAAGGGAAATAGCGCTATATAAATAAAGTATTATTGTTATTATCATTATCATTATCATTATCATTATCATTATTATTATTATTATTNATTATTATTATTATTATTATTACTATTACTATTATTTTATCGAACGCTTACCGTGTGGAAACCTTGTAGGCCGTCACGGGTTGACTTCGCCAATAAATACTGGTGATCATTTTTACTTCCATAACATACCACCATCAAAATAAAAACAAACGTACAGTAAACAATGAGCTCGATGTAGAAACGAGAGATGTTCTGTTTCTTCGTCTGACGTCTTCTCATTGCCTCTACTTCGGATATATTTATGGTCCATATCCTTTCTTTTGAGCACTGGATATTTTGAGCACTAGTTTCTGCAAGGATTGAGTAACCTTCGCTGTTACCCCTCTTCAACCTTATAATGACTGCCAGCAATACAGCTGCAGCAAGTACTTTAGCAGGTTCATTGACAGTGACATCTTGGGAAAATGATATAAGCATCGAAGACAACCACTGTTCACTTAGGCTTTTTCCCCAAACAAGGCTATAAAATATCGAAAATGTCGCAGAAACAACACAGGTGCAAAAACAGAGAAACCAAGCAATGTAAACATTCAAATTATGTACACAACATCTACGCGGCAGTTGATTAGTCGTTCTCGAGCTCCCCTTTTGGAACAAGAATGCAATAAGAATGTTTATCGGTGCCACAACAAGGGTGCTTTGAACTCCAATAACAACCTGTCTCCAAGAAAACTTCAATGGCCCGACTTGAATGACTTGTTCGGATTTTCCGGTCAGATCATAAAACATAGCATTTGCAAGCATGGCTGACAGAAGTATTGAAAGACAGCATGATGCACGTTGCACTCTTGAGAAAGGATCTCTTGGTGGTTTCGCTAACACTGACACCCAAATGTGTTTCTCTGTAAGACCCTTCCACCATCGTTTTAACACATTGGTTTTGAAAGTGTCGTCATTCACCAATAGCTTTAACATTCTCTCTATTCGTCCGTCGCCTCGCTCAAGAGCTAACCACTTGTTGTTTGCAAACGTCCACGATGTTTGGGTTTGTTTGTCCATAATGACAATATCTTCAAGAAACCAGGACGGACTTGTTCCAGAGTTATCGTGTCCCACTCGCACACCATGTATAAAACCCAGGGATTTGTCAACAGTGAGAACAAAGACCTCCGAGCTTCCTCGATAAAACAGTGAGTCATTCGAGCCGGATTCAGTACCAAGCTGTATAATCCCACTCCTTCCTTCGGCACCATGTATCTCCATGGCAACCTTGGCTGTTGTACCAGAATTCCACCAGATCCCAGTTGTAACAGTTATTTCATATTCGTATGTGTTACTTGATGACGTTGGAAGTTGTCTTCTAGGCGATGTCTGAAAACAAGTGTTTGTTTCCTTAAACAGACTACATATTGACAAAATAGATTTAATAATTCATTAATAATTCTTTTTCTTTTTTTTCAACTCGAGTTACCTGATGTAACTAAAAGGGTGTAAATTTCAGTCCTGTATGGCTGGGCACCTCCCTTTAGCTAAGCCCAATTTTTCAAATACCATTTAACTAACTGTTTTCTTTACATCAAAATCATATTTGCTGCTGAGCCATTAAGGGTCACATGATAACTGCTTTCTTCATAAATAATTCCTAAGCTTAGTATGATAATTATTCTATTGTATAATGCTATCATTAATATTTAAGAATAACGACTGAAAAAGACCCAAGTTTAGCTAAAATGTAGTAACATTCTACCCAAATTGCTGAATTTCTTCATGTATGTGTTGAATTGTATCAATCACCAAGCCAACGAAAAACTCTCAAAAACTCACCCTTGCGGCATCCCTTTTGTCCGCTCTTCTGGCCAGAAGAAGTACAAGAAAATAAACCATAAATGCTACCATTACTGTCACAATAACGGCCACANTTAATAATTCTTTTTCTTTTTTTTCAACTCGAGTTACCTGATGTAACTAGAAGAGTGTAAATTTCAGTCCTGTCCGGCTGGGCACCTCCCCTTAGCTAAGCCCAATTTTTCAAATACCATTTAACTAACTGTTTTCTTTACATCGAAATCATATTTGCTGCTGAGCCATTAAGGGTCACATGATAACTGCTTTCTTCACAAATAATTCCTAAGCTTTGTGTGATAATTATTTTATTGTATAATGCTATCATTAATATTTAAGAATAACGACTGAAAAAGACCCAAGTTTAGCTAAAATGCAGTAACATTCTACCCAAATTGCTGAATTTCTTCATGTATGTGTTGAATTGTATCAATCACCGAGCCAACAAAAAACTCTCAAAAACTCACCCTTGCGGCATCCCTTTTGTCCGTTCTTCTGGCCAGAAGAAGTACAAGAAAATAAACCATAAATGCTACCATTACTGTCACAATAACGGCCACATTTCCCGTTTCATCGAGCTTCTTGAATTCTACAAGGACTTTGTCGAAATCGATTGGATTAGGTTTGACAACAAGGCTTCCTCCGAATGACGTCAAATGGTTACAGGAACACTTGAGAGATCCGTTCAAGGTAGCAGATAGAAACTGTGACAAAAAAGGCCAGAGTCAATCAAAGTTTACATAACATTTACATAGAAGGCAGGAAGAAAGTCTGGTGTTGAACAGTTTATATAAAACAAACGACTTTGATGCATGTCCAATCCCATGTTAACAAACATTTAGCATCACGTATTTCGGTAGCAACCTATACTGATGATATCATTTTAAAGTCATGCAAATTTGGCGACGACAATGTTGGTACATGTTCCTTTGTAAAGTCATTTTTAAACAGTAGTCTATCGTCCCAAGCTAATATTGAATTCTCAGTAGGACAAGAGATTGTTTACAACCACTTGAGAGGGCATGGATGGGGCTTGTATTAAATCTCAGTGAGGTAATATTTTCAGCCATTTTTCAGCTCTCAGTAAACTTTGAAGATCTCTACCTGCTATCGAGCAGTTAATTTACGCATTATTTTTTACTTGGTGGTTAAAATTGTGGCCAATTTCCAGCAATTAGTTAATTCCGGACCCTCCCTTTAGTGTGAAAGAAATGAAGGGAAGGTATGCGCTTTTTTTTCAGAAATGGCACGAATCACATGGGAAAACCCATTAACTCCGATGTTTTACAATAGATTTTTCCTGATATAGCTTGCGTAAGTGGAAAGTGAATCATAATGCAATTTATATGGACTTACCCGGCAGCCGTCTGTTATCCACATCTGCTTCCTGTCTGACCAATAAACGCAGCTTCCCATTGCCACTCTCAAAGTGTAGTTGTGATCAGTGCTCGGATCATAAACAGGCACAACACTTACATTTTCACTTTGAGGTGGGGTAGGAGGGGGACTTTTTGTATCAACACAGGCTCTTCTTTGCCGTCGTTGGCCAAAACATGAACGTTTCTGTCTCTTTTGGGATTTAGTAATGTTGCTATCGCTTAACAGTGCTAAGTAGTACATTCCGGGTCTCTTGGCAAGAACTTCAATTAAACGGTTGGAATAACAACCATTTTTCCCTTCGAGGTTTTCCTTCATTTTCGTCCAAATACATCTTTCATAGCTGGATGCAGTGGCATTGAGGTCATGTTCTTTGAGGGTTGGTCGTTGACCAAATCTGATGTATAAAACCAAATTTACAAGCGCGTCGTCGGGTGTAATATCAAGTTGTACCACTGTATTTTCGTAATCAACTTTCATCTCATGAAAGCGAGGAGAGTTATTATTTGTGAAGAAGGGCGACTTTTGTAAAGGGTAGTTCTGGGGTTTTGGTGTCATCTCGATGTCAACGTCACTTGAAAGTTCAGAAATTTCCATAACCTTTTGCTGATCATCTTTTAAGTCCAAGGATAATACATAGGAATTGACTCGCTCTCTTGTGCGGTCCCAAGTGAAAGGATTAAATGCTATGGATAACATCTGAAACATCATAAACAACAACGCTATATTTCAGATATATGTTTACTACATGTAAAATTAGGTTTTATAACATAATTAAAGCAAAGCGCTCGCTCTGATTGGTTAATTCATCGTCTACTATTAGCCCAGGGTGTACGGTGCTGACGCATGTGCTAATGTGATGTAGCTCAATAAAAGAACTTCTTTTGCTCCAATGCGCCAAAGTTATGATATAAATCAAGTGGTAAACGCCACAACTGTACACTATTGAGTTATGGATGCACTTGGGAGGTTTGCTAAGCACTCAAGAAGCTAGAGTCGCACTTGGCTATGGCCTCGTGCGACTCTTGCGCTTTTTTCGTGCTTAGCAACCTCGCGGCGTGCATCTATAACTCAATAGTGTACGCTATGGCGTTTACCATTTGTTAAATCTGCCGGTTAAAGCCGAAATTAACGAAAACGAAGAGAATCCAATACCTAAATAATTCACAGAGTCCAAAAGAACTATAGAATTTTGGGTACTGGAGAAACGCCACGAATATTTGGACATTAACGCTTAGATTGCTGTTTTATTTTGTTTCGATTCTGACCGAATTGACCATTTATTTAGTTTTTTTTGCTTTTTTTCTTGGCGGTTTATGTATAGTTTGTGTGTTTTGCTGCTGCTTTTTTAAATGGAAGCACACCGTTATTTCATCAGTATAATGACCGGACGCCTTGAGTGCCATGATTCAAACATCACGACTCGAGAGAAAGAAAGAAATACAACAAAAACAATAACAACAATTAAACTGTCTTCCACATTCATTTGAAACTCACCGTAAGTTAAAACATCGTTTAAGGACCAGAATATACGTTTGCCTTCGACCATTTGTTCAACCTTTTCATTACCTTTTTGGCACATTTATGTTAACTTTTCTTAGCTTATAGCTTGGTAAATGGAAACTAAAGGTAATCTGGAAGGCAGGGTAATGTAGTGAAGAGATGTCGACCCGGGAAGTTAAATTTTTACTTATATTTTTTTTAATGATCACGAGTTACAAAAGGCACTATTACCTGAGCATCCACAAAATCATTGTTGGCGACCTGGAAGACCAAAGCGTTACTATCCACAGGCAAAACGAAGTTTCCATGATCACTTTTAATCTTCAATCCACTAAGTCTAGCCGGTGTATACCGCCCTAATGTGAAGGACAAATCACTCGTCTGGATAGATATAGCTTCCTCATCTGGGAGTCTCACTGCAAGTATCGCATCACTTACAGTGCTTAGAAGCTGCATGCACCGTTTAACCACTTGTCGTCCCTAAAAAAAA